GCTCTTGCCTGTAATCCCGGCATTTTGGGAGGCCAAGGCAGGTGGATTACTTGAGGTCAGGAGTTCAAGACCAGCCTGGCCAACATGGTGAAACCCTGTCTCTACTAAAAGAGACAGAAGTCAGCTGGGCATGGTGGCACACGCCTGTAATCCCAGCACTTTGGGAGGCTGAGCGGGCGCGCGCCGTCCCGGGCAGGCGGCGGGGCGCGCGGCCCCCGAGGTTGAAAGGACGGTAGCAGATGTTGCAGTCCAGCTCGCCCCGCTCCGGAAGAGAGGGCACCCTCACCAAGAGCTGCATCGTGCCCGCCGCGAACTCGAGGGCGTCGCTAACGCGGCCGGCTCGGTGAACAGAACGAACTGACTCTTCTGAGGCCCGGGTCGGGTCCTGGGGCCGGCGCCGCGGCCTCTTTCCCCTTTAAATAGGGGAATAAGTGAGGCCCCACCCTTCGAAGCGTCACGCCTTGATCGGGCCGCTCCCCGTGGCGGCACGTGTGGGGGCGGTGGAGGCTTAAGGCCGGGCATGACAGCGATGATGGAGTCGGGGAGGCGGCCCAGGCCGTGCCAGGACCGGAGCCCTGGGGGCCGAGGCACCCATTCCTCCCTTCCTCCCCACTGCCGGGGAGCGGGGTGGGGCTTTCCTTCTTCCCCCAACGCAACGCCAGCGCTCCTTAATTCTACCATGTGCAAATCCCCGGGTCCCTCCCTGCGCCTCAGCCGTCAATCATTGGCACAGGTCTCTAAAGCCCCCTCGGCCTATTCAGTTGCTCGCAGTGAGTTTCACAATCACACTCAGTTTCCAAACACTGCCCATTCTGCCCAACCTTTGGTCCCGGGTCCTTTGACTCGATTTTGCCCTCAATTCTCATTATAGATGACCTCTCGGTGTTGCTTGTAAGGCTGGCTTCCTAAACTTCATTCTCCCCAAACTGCTTAACTCTCAGCTGGTATCTCAGCCTAAGGAGGGGCCTAGATTCCAGGACCATGGCTTTAGGAATGCTGGGAATCCTTTCCTTCCGGAGGCCTGGACACCCACACATCGTGATGGCCCCAGTAAAGCTCCCCAGCATAAGTTCTGACTCAGGGGTCTGACTTCTCCCACTGGTAAACAGGACATGGTACTCACAACCCACATTCCCCTCATGGTGCCACACCCACACACAGCTGCCTTCTCACCCTCCTCTCCTGGACCTGCAGCCCAGGTTCTGTTGTGGAGGGTAATAACACAGTCTAGAGCCAGCTGGCTTGAGTTCAGATCCTAGCTTCCACCTCTTACTAGTTGTGACACTTTGAGCAAGTTACTTAATTTATGTGGGCCTTGGTTTCCTATAAAAAATGTGGATAATGAGGACTGAACGAGGTTATATGTGTAAGGTGCTTCAAACAGTGTCCAGTACACAGTAAAACACCAGGTAAGTACTATATTAGCTACTATTCTTATCCTGTGCCCTCAACCTATACTGAATTCACCTTAATTTCTCAGTACCCAACATTTTCTTTTCTTTTTTTTTTTTTTTT